AAAATTAGAATAAGGAATACAATGCATGTCTTGGTTGAACTTATAAGAGAGGAACGTAGGGCATATAAGTTTTCTCATTCAATCCTTTATATTATTTTTTCGTTTAATTCTAAGTTTGATTTTCTTATGATTACTAATCATTCATACAATTCCTATCAATACCCAATGGTCATGAAATATTAACATTCTTTTCTCTAACTAACATACACAATAGTCATGCAAGACATTAAGTCAAGAAAGTATAAAGCACCTATGAACTTATTAATTTAATAACGATTGGAAGAGAAAGATTGATTTGGTATATCTAATCCTTTGTCTCATTTTATCTTATAGATCCATTAACTAATCGAGGTACAGTTACCTGATGATATAATTAATTAAAGTTATATGATTATGCGCAATAGGATAAATATTAATCACAAAAGGAAATCAAACACAGATTCAAACTTCAATATCCCATAAATTCATAAATAAGAATTCTCATAACCCTAGCTATAGACTTAATTATTCATGCTAAAGAAAAGAACTAAACAAAGCCATAAAGAAAAGCAAACTAAAATGATATGAGTTTCCAGTCTTCAAGTATGGCTGCTTAAAACTCCACGTCCTGTCAAAAGTATGCCAAAAAAGATCGAGTTGGATGGATTAGAGAGACCAGAGGTGTATCACAGAACAAGGACAAAATAGTAAAAATTGGATCCCTGAGGTTCCTTTTTAATAGGGTTTGAAAACCCTAAAAGCTCTTCATTAATTAGGCTTACTGTAGATGAGCATGACTATGCAAGGCCATAAGTACAGTCGTATATGGATTTGAAACATTCCCGTGCTTGTTAAAAGGGTTTGGGTGTGTAGATTATTTTGAAGCTATGATTTTTCATCAATTTGAGCCCAAAATACACATAAAATCCACTTGTAGCCTCTTTATACTAAACTACACAATTAACATATAAATTAATATAAAACCCAAATAAAATAAAGGTCAAATATAAATATATGGGTCATAAAAGAATGTCTAAATACAAACTTATCATGATGTCAGTAAAATTGCTTTTCATACATCGTATGGCCACTATGAGTTTCTAGTTATGCCATTTGACCTATCCAATACTCCAGCAACATTTCAGGCTTTGATGAACTTAGTGTTCAAAGATTTCCTTAGAAAATTTATCACTATATATTTTGACAACATCCTCATTTAAAGTGGCATCATTATCTCTTAAGAACCCGTTTTACTATCATCACTGATCATTGTAGTTTGAAAGAACTAATGAGCCAAGCTGTCCAAACCCTGCAGCAACACCACTACCTTAGCAAACTTTTAGGATTCACATATGATATTGTTTATCATAGTGGCAATTCTAATGTGGTGACTGACACATTATCACACAAATATGAGCATGAACCACAATCTCCTGCGAGCATAGCAGTAATATCTTCCCTTGATTGCCACTAGACCAATACCTTACAATATGAAGCTCAAAATGACCTAGAGTTATGACATTTTCTTGACAATCACCTACTTCTTGGCTACTCTATAAAAAATGACACTCTCATTTTTAAAGATTGCATAGTTTTGGCAACTCACTCTAAGTACAAGCAAAGACTTATAGAAGAAATACATTGCTCTCCGATGGGTGGGCATATCGGTTTCTTACAAACTTACAAATGTTGGACTACTATTTTTGTTTGGCCCAACATGTGTAAAGAGATTAAAGACTTTGTTAAAAACTGTATAACTTGTTAGCAAACCAAGCATTTCATCGAGAAACCAGTGGGCCTACTACAACCTATCCTAATTCCAACGTCTGTATGGACAATGGTTATAATGGATTTCATTACCAGGCTACCAAGTTCAGAAGGATCTATAATCATACTTTTTACTATTGATAAGCTAATCTACACACTTCGATGCCTTACTCACCCTTATTCAATGCACATTCTATTGCTAAGATATTACTAGCATAGTGGTCAAAATCCATAGCTTTCCTATAATCATTTTCTTTGATTGAGACTCTATATTCCTGAACAAATTTTGGTTACAACTAATCTACTTTAGCGGCACCACCTTATAGTATTACATGACTTATCATCCACAAACTGATGGCCAATCTGAAGTGCTCAATCAATGCTTAGAATAGTACCTACATGCCTTTGTTTTTTCCTACCTACGGCTTGGACATCCTACCTGTATTGGTGATAGACAATTGCTGAGTTGCTATCAAAACAACTAAGTTTTCTAAAGATTTGTAGTATATAGTCAAATCTAGGTCAATTCACGGAGACACATTTTCAGTCAAATTCAATTTTAAGTTTTGTTTTAAAAGATGTAAATAAGATTTTTTGGGGTTTTGAAAATTGCAAATTAATTAAATTAAATTATAAACAGAATTAAAGTTAGTAAAAAATAAATTAAAAAATATCAATCCACAGAATACCAATTGCGTATAACTTTGACTATCACAGTATCTAAATATTTAAATCCGCGTTTGAACAATCACTCAATTCAATTATTAATTCAATTGAATATCCTAATTGAATAGAGTTACAAATTAAATCAAATAATCATTTAATCTAATCTGCATTAATTTTTAAACCAAAGCATCAATCGAGTCCTAATTTAAATTCTAACAACAGAAAAGTTAATCATGATCGCAATATACAATTCTGAGATTAGAGAGAAAAGAGAATAAACTCGTAGCTATTTAGCATAGAACTCAAGTCAGAATTACAACATTTAAATTTTACGGATTGAACGAGAGGTTTAGCCTTCCATCGAAACGCTTAACCCACGCAAGAATGAGAAAAGAACGGGAGAGTTCGAGAGAAAGTAAAAACAAGGATTTTTATTTCGGCTAAGTCTCAAAAGCTTAAAATGTCTCATCGCATGCGCAAACGCGCACACATTAATTCAGAATCTCATTACTTTATTTATAGGTTCTGATTAGGGTAAACTAATTGGCCAAAATTTGGGCCTCAATAATATCTAAAAGCCCAAATGCAATTATTAAATAACAAGGGTCCAAATGCAATCCCATAAAAATATTCAGCAAATCTACCTCAACTTCTAAAAATCATAAAAAATTGAAAATAACTCCAAATACAGTGATCCGTACATGCATTTTAAAGTCCTGGATGTATAGAATCCAATGCAATTGGAATCAATCAAAAACAATATTTGTAGAAAAAGTTATGGCCAAAAGAGTAGTCAGAGGTCAGAATTACCAAAAAACACGAAATTAAAGCATTTATTTCTAATAGACCCAATTTATTCCAATAAGTAAAAAAATGGTAAAAACTATAAAAACAAAGCATATTAAAAGTGTTTATAAATGAAAATAAAACTAGAAATCTAGACATAAAACATGTTTTATCAATTGGACTGAGCTCTATTATAATACTTCTTATCATTTTGCAATAAGTATGACCCTTTTTTAGACATTTTATGGACATAAACCTTCTCCCATCCCAAGCTATACATCAGACTTGGCAACAGTTGACTCCCTGGATGAGAGTCTCCAGCTTTGCACCAAACTACTTCTATCGTTTACTTCGCAACTACTAAAAGTCTACCGTTGCATGCAGCGAATTGACGACCGGAACTGCTAATATCGTTCTTTTATGATAGGGGACTGAGTTTGGGTTAAGCTGCAGCAACATTGCTAACACACACTCACCAAATAATTCAGTCATAAGCTAGATTGTAGATATCTTTTCAAGTTCTACACAGCGTTGGTCCAGTTGTATACAAGCTTGCTCTCTCTACTGATTACACTATTCACCTCATGTTTCATGTGAGCCTACTCAAATTTTATCATGGCCCTACTCCTTCACAACTATTAGCAGTCTCCACCCAATAGTTTCAGAACACCTTACCCTACCCTAAGAAAATACTTGGTGTCCACAACGTTGCACACGACACAGCCATCTTAACTCAATATTTGATTGACTGGGATAAGTATGATTAGTATGCCAGTTCATGGGAAAATGCATATCTCTTTCCTTCTCTTTATCTCTACTTGTACCTAGTCGATACTTCTTCTTCCACCTTGAGGACAAGGCTCGTTTCGAACCTAAGGATATTGATAAGGTTGCAACAATTACACATCACCACAAGAAAGATTTGGTGCAACAAAATAAATAACTATAACTAACAATCCATATGTAACTATCTTATGCAAACAATCTATAAATAAGACTATTAGGTCAACATAAAAAATATAATATGAATATAGAAGAAAGTTTAAGAGGAGAAGTTCCTCTTTATCCATATCCTCTTGTCTTATCATTAAAACTCATATTGATAGCAAGCTAACATAAACACATTTTTAATTATTGATTAAAAATTATAAATATTATCATATTTCACTCTTAATTGTATTTAATGAGTGTCACTCATAATTTTATAATTTTAATAAAATTTAATCAATAATTTTTATATAAATTATTGTATTAATTGTTTTTTTGAATTTGTGTGTTATCAGCTTATAATATAGATAAAAAAATAAAAGATAAAAAATAAAATATATGATATAAACGAAACTAAATGACTTAACTATGAGCTAATTTACATAAGGTGGCAAATTACATGTGTAAATTTAATCGTTTTTACGTATGTTGGTAGTCTTCAATTAACTGCGTTGTTGCTGTTCCAAATTTTAGGCTAATTTAAAGTTAAAATATATTTTTCTATTCTATAAGGTAATTTTTTAAATTAATTATATTTATTATAGGACTAATTCGAATACACCAAATAATGCAAATTTATCATGTTATAATATTTTAAAAATTTAATTTAATTTAATTATTATATAATTTTATTTTTAATAAAAATTGAACTAATGATTTCGTGCAATTTCCATGATTAATTTTGTGTCCGCTTATCGAATATTTTTACACTAAGAAAATATTAGTGGGCCGCTTTATAAGTAGGCCCAATATAACAGCAGTGGGCCGTTTTAAGTTTTCTAATTGATAGTTTCTTGATGGAAACGTCAACGTTTGCGACGTCGTATTTAAGCATCACTGGCCTGTGATCGGTAGCCATTAACAAAGCAAGGTTAGTAGTAGAATCAACACATCAAGAGAGAGCAATCTTCTGTTAATTCCTCGCTTCTTAGAAAAGCAAACTAAGTTTGATTTTGTTGTTCTTTTTTATTGGTGAGCGCGGTTGTTCATCGATTATGTCGGGCATGGAAAGGCTTCAAAGAATGTTTGCGGGTGCTGGAGGAGCACTGGGCCATCCACCACCTGATTCCCCCACCCTCGATTCCTCGGAGCAGGTTTACATATCATCTCTCGCACTTCTCAAAATGCTCAAACACGGTATGTTTCTCTTATTGATTCCTATATTCATTACATTTCCATTTTCCCGTTTTGTTTTTAAAAAATAAATCAGTGCCCTAATTGATTGGATAGGAAGGGCTGGTGTACCCATGGAAGTGATGGGTTTGATGTTGGGGGAGTTTGTGGATGAGTACACTGTGCGGGTTGTGGATGTCTTTGCTATGCCTCAGAGTGGTACCGGTGTTAGTGTTGAAGCTGTTGACCATGTCTTTCAGACTAACATGCTTGATATGTTGAAGCAGACTGGAAGGTATTTTTGTCTTTCATTTTATTGTTTATTGAAGCTTATTTTCTTGATTTGTACATTTTTTTATGCGTTTATAACTGTTGGATCTAGTTATGGTCTGTTGTTACATGATTTATAACTGTGTAACATGAATAATAATGTTTTGATTATTTTGAATCAGTTAGTTGAATCTTTGGCGTTTTGTTTCAGGCCCGAGATGGTTGTAGGGTGGTATCATTCCCATCCCGGATTTGGATGTTGGCTTTCTGGAGTGGACATTAATACACAACAGGTTTTTGGCTTCTTCTTCAGTCTTTAGTTCATCACGGCAGCTTGTTTTTTGTGATATTGTGCTATTTTTGTGTTTGAAACCAAGTGGTTCATAGATGAGATGAGGGTAAAATTTGTTTTCCTTTTATTCTTTCTTCAATTGAAAAACAAGGCATGCCATTAAATTGATGCATCTCTTAGAAAAAACCATGACAGAAGAGGGGGGGGGGGGGAATACAAAAAGTGAGCAGAGTTTGTGGTGTGGTTGTGTAAACATTTTGTTATTTTAATGTTCATTTATGCTTATAACCTCATATTTCATATTTTTATTTCTTTACCAAACATACACAATTACAAACTGAAACATGATTTTATGGAACTTCTGAGGCGTGAAGATGGAAAATTACCTTTTTTTTATTGGTGAAATCGTGGAGATGAATGTATAATTGTATACTATAGACAAGTAATGCCCTTGCTTAAGTTTGGTTGTTCATAATTTTATATGTAAGCAGCATTAACATTTTTTTATTGGGTACATAGTGAAGCGAAGCCAAATGTAGGGGATGGTGATACGTTGCCTGGTATAGGATTGAACCTCCGACATTATCATCTCATCCCAGTCTTAGGTTGGGGCTGGTGCTAATTGTGCTATAAGCTTGCTGGATGACTATGGAAACTTGTGAAGATGTAATACTACTTGAGTAACAAAATTGTATTTGTATTCCTGTGATTTAAGTAAATCCAATATGATTAAGAAAAGTTGGTAGATGGACTGTTGTACCTAAATTTAAAGCTTAATTTATAAATTATGATTCAACAGGTCAATTAGTGGATATCATAAAACTCACTGCAGATTGAGAAGAATAAAATGTAGAATTTAGTTAAGTGAACAATGACAAGCCTTTCTTTGATAAGACTGTTAGTTTTAGAAAGTTATATATAATATGTGTGTTCTTTGATATAATGCAGAGTTTTGAGGCATTAAATCAACGGGCAGTGGCTGTGGTGGTGGATCCTATTCAGAGTGTTAAAGGCAAGGTGGTGATTGATGCTTTCCGGCTGATTAATCCACAAACTATGATGCTGGGTCAGGAACCACGACAGACAACTTCCAACTTGGGGCATCTAAACAAGCCATCTATCCAAGTGAGTGTTCTGTTATTCTATTCAAGAGTAAATTGTGTTCTGTTTTCTTTGTCTTTTGTCATTACTATTTTTGACCTTGTATTCTCCTTTTTAGGCCCTGATCCATGGCTTGAATCGACATTATTACTCTATTGCAATTAATTACAGAAAGAATGAGCTGGAAGAGAAGATGTTGCTTAACCTTCACAAGAAGAAATGGACTGATGGTTTGACACTTATGCGTTTTGATTCACATTCTAAAACTAATGAACAGACTGTTCAGGTGAGTAAAAATTCTTCAATGTGAAATAGAAATATAGATCATTCAACCCTTTAATTTCTGTTTTCTTCTCCTGCTTCAACATTTTTCCTCGAGCATAATACAAGACTTCGAAAATTAATAAGTTTTGTTGTCCTGTATGTATCCTAGATATAAGGCAAAGGAGCCTGTTTTAATGTAACTGCATGCATTCCTTACTCTCTTGCACTGCAACAATTAGTTATTGATGTGGTACTTGATTGGAGATTCTGCTGACGTAGTTTCATAAATTTCTTACTATGCTGATTGGTTCTTTTCTGTTGTTTCCTTGTTGTTCTCACAACCTCTCCTCCCTCCCTCCTATAGAGATTTAAAGTGAAATGATTTTCATTAATTATTGAAGTATATATGTAATGATATTTATAGACATACAATCCATAGTTATCAATTTTGGACAGCGGCGTGTAGAGACCAATGCCAAAAATGCTGTAGCAAGATAGCACATAGCAAAATGACTTCTATTTAGAAATTTTATCTACATATTAAATAATTTATACTAGATATATAAATGCTCAAAAATTAAAAAGAAAAAAAAAACCTCAAAATCCATGACATTCATAATTAAAAATAAAAAGTCACATCTTTTAAGCAAAACATACAAGTAAATAAAAATAAAAGTTAAAAAAAAAAAAAGGAACAGTTCTTTTTTAAGGCAAAAATGACTTTTTAAAATTTTTTGTGGCACTGTTGCCCACTGTTGCAATCCATATTTAAAAACATTATGCTATTCAAATTTTGTAGTGACTTGTGGGCTGTGGCCACTCTAGTATTTTGCTATAGCCCGCTATTGATAACTATGATACAACCACATAAGAATACAAAATGAGTTCCAAAAGTTAAATCTATTGCATACTTATGGAAAGGGAGTAAAGCCTAAAATTAGTCCATTAGATAGTAGTAGTTGTTGTGCATATTAGTCACTTACTTATTTAAATTGTCTCGTTAGTTCTTCACATATTAGTCTATCATGCATTCAAGTCTCTGTTGATAACAAATGCCTGAAAATGATTAACTTTGTTGTTAAGTGACATGTAGAAGTTAAAACAATGTCATTTGACACAATACCAAGGATTAATCTCATGGAGTATGCATCATTGCTGGCGCTTCTGCACCTATCTCTCACATTCCTTCCCTCACAATTGCAGCATTCCTAACTGCTCCCACCACCTCCTCTCTTTCTCTCTCTCTCTCTCTCAAACACACACACATATAGAACCTTAAAACAATAGTGGTGTTGGTGTTTCAAACAACAATCAATAATGTCCTTAATGCAAACACAAACCTTCAAACTCTAACAATGGTGACAATGTTTTTGCAAATCTAGAAAATGCAATGTTATTGGAGTTATTGTTTGTGAGGAGCTGATTATTGGGTTTTAATGGTGTGACTGTGGGGAGAGAGTAAAAGAGAGGTGATAGGAGCTTTGGAAATGTGGGCCACTATGACTAGCTCCAAGGAAAGGGGAAAAGAGAGAGAGGTGGTGGGGGCTTTGAGAGTGCGAACCATCATGATCAATATGACTTTGAGGAGAGGGGAAGAAGTGGGGGCTTTGGAGACGGTAACCACAAATAGTGTGGCTCTAAGGAGAGGAAAACACACACACACACACAGAGGTGGCAATGGACCACCGTGAGCAATGTGGATTTAAGGAGGAGGAAGAGAGAGAGTGGAAGGAAGGTGTGAAAGAACATCTTTTTAACTTTCACGTATCATTTAACGGTAAAAGCAAAAGTTTTTTTGACATCTATTAATAGTAAAGACTTAAATGCATGACAGACTAATATGTGAGGGATTAACAAGACAATTTAAATAAGTAAATGACTAATATGCATGATTGCTACTATTTGATAAACTAATTTGAAAATTTACTTTATGAAAAGGGTAAGATAATTGGGTTGCACTAGATCATTGCTCCAGCATGCTTCAACAAGATGGTGGAGGTGGCACGTAACTTGCAAATGATTGTTGGCAGCCAGAACTCAAACAAAGTGATAATCAATGGCTAAATGTTTCATCATGTAATGAACAAGGGATTAACATATAAATATGTTTCTCCAAGTCATAGGTTGTTTGAGAAAATAGTAGGAGATTGAAGAAAGGCCAAGTTTGAGGTGAAGTTGACATAGGCAAAGTCACTCATTTGTGGTTGAAGCAATTGCAGTTTGCCTCTTGCATGATCAAGAGACAACATTGGATCTAAACTAGACAATGTAGGTTGGTGTAGATTTTTTGGTCTCTCATCCCTGCTCAGTTTGGATGGTAAAAGAAAGAGTGTAAGGTTAGAGTCTTTCCTAAGATTGAGGCCATTACTCACTATTCCTTCAAGGTATTTAGGACTTTCTACAAGACTTGCATGTGCAGGTCTTACAATGCATGCATGTTTTGAGATAATTTATGCACAAAAAAGGTGCATGCTTGTATTGAGATATCTTGTGCAGACAAAAAGCATTATATGGGGCTCTTGCCTAGTTATTGCCAGGGGTTGAAGGCAGCTAGCAAGTCAATGATAAATGGCACTGCACCATTACATGTAGAAGTATTAGATTAGGGGTGAGGACACAACTATCTTGATGTTGTGTGAGAAAAAGAGTCCTTGGGAAATGGAAATAATTTCCACTCCTAAAACCTGAGTTGGGTGGCCTAGATCTTTGAGAGAAAACTTCTTCACAAGAGCTTGTTGAAAGTGGTGTATAAAAGTAGAATTATAAGAGGACTGTTAACATATTCAAGAAAATTGTCTTCGACCATGTGATAAATAAGTAAGAGCTAGAGTGGGAGTTTGTCAAGCCATGACGAAAAAGAAAATTTAAGTTCAAGACACCAAGTATGGGAGGCTTATTTGTGACCATAAAGAGCTTTATTGAGCTTACATACATGGTTTGATAAATGGGATGTGTTAAGAAACTTGAACCTAACTCACTCCCAAAAGCTAGCTCATAGGAGGACTATTGTAGCCCTTATAAGGAGTGTTTTGGCTCTAGTTCTAGCTAATGTGAGACATCTTAACACCTCCCCCCATCATACCTAGGACTTGAAATCTATGCGTGAAATTTGTAAGACTAGACACGTGCATGAGTACCCTAACAGGACTGGACCTTTGTGGGTAGCCCAACATTCAAATTGGACAGACTCTAATACCAAGTTAAGAAATTTGGGTCTAACTCACTCCCAAAAGCTAACTCATAAGGAGAGGATTACCATTATAAGGAGTATCCTGGCTCTAGTCCTAGCCAAAGTGAAAAATCTTAACAGGAAGAATGAAACCTAATAATGGTTAGGCCATGCAGGCATGTTTTCAGGGAGAGTCCCATGCAAAAAAAAGTGTTGTTGGCATCCATTTGAGTAATAGATAATTTCTTATGGAGAGCAATTAAACTATTTCAATAGTATGAAGTGTATTGAATGGACTCGAGGTGTTTTGAAGTCAATTTTTTTGACAAGTATTGCTTTGTGCTGACTGGTGAGCTATAAATTTTTCATGACTTATTTGAGGTATGAAAACCAACTTGTTGCCAATAATGTTGTAATGAGATTGAGGTGCGTCAAGAGCACCATGTACTTCCTTTCATGAGAGCAATATATTCATTGACATGTTTACATTTAGTGTTCTTTAGAGTTCATGAGACACATGGACTTCACTAAGTTTGGAATGGGATATTTGATGCTTGATTTTAGCTGTTTGGTTTTATAAGCTCCATCTTTGGCATGTAATCATGGGATGAGTGGAGATGAGAGGCCTATGGATAGATGTGTGAGTAGAGGTGGTGCTTGATTAAACTAGGGCAAGACACCAAACAACAACAACAACCCAGCCTTATCTCACTAGGTGAGGGCAGTACACCAAACATCAAAGTAAAATTTTAAAGGATGGATACTAGACCTATAAAACAATAATTTATAACTTTTGAAGAGACAAGCCAGGTATGAACTATTGAGTGCATTGGTATGTAAGAGTTTGAAGAGTTTGGTGACCAAGACATTAATGGCATAGATGAAGGGATGGTGGAGACTAGACATAAACAGTTTGCGAAGAGGGAGAGGGAGCTTATACAAGTTCTTGTTCAGGCCACACATCGGTACTGTCCTTGTGTTTGGATTTTCCATCTCAAAACACTAAGAATTCAATGGAAACATCATAATTTGCAAAATTGAGATTTGAGGAATTGAAATAAGATTTTGTCTTACTGTTGGAACATATAAAATAGAGGAAAGTTGAAGAGGATGAATAGGGGTAGAAATGCTAGGGAAATCTGCATGTGTAATGGGAAGGCCTTGGTAAATGGTAACTGACCAGTGCCAGCATAGTCATTCTAGATAGATGCATTCATTAAATCACTAATAGCTCGAGTTCGACAACCAAGTGGGAAGGCGAGGAATGGCGTGTCTTTGTAGACAAGTAGCAGTGGGGAGCATTAGTTTTAGGTGGATAGCTAATGATCTTTTTGTAGGTTTTGGCACTTAGACCCCTTTTCTCCCCTTCGAAAAATTGACATGCCACAGAAATATCATAAGTAGAGAGATCTTGGTAGGAGATAGGAAGGCATTGTTTGAGATATGCTTACCACAACCATTATTATATAGGGCTATGAGAAAAGTTTGCATTGAGAGGAGGTGGTTGCATTACCTTGGTTGATGGTGGCATGAGGATAGGGAGTTGCCCTTGACATAAACTTAAAGATTATGACCAACAAGGAGAGACCAAAGCTGTTTGTACCAAGCAGGATAGTTTGTTCCATTTAATTTGATAGGAAGATTGACAGTGACGTTGAATTCAATGAGGTGATAAGGATTAGTAATGTAGGGGAAACAACTTTTTTGGTGGCAGCAGTGGATGAAGAGGCCACGAGGATCAAAAGGGCTTGTGAAGCCAGAGGACTTCTATATCATAAAGTGATTCAAAATGAAATGATTTTCATTCATTTATGAAGCACCTAATATTTATAGACAACATGTACAACATAACAACAGACAAAATAATTGTTCTAAACTCAACATTTCCTGTAATGAAGAAAGGATAAGATGATGGGGAGCACTACGTCCTTACTCCCAAAACTGCTCTACCTTCCTTTTTTCACTAGATGGTGTTAGGCGGGTAGGACCCTAGCGGTGCTTAATTTTTCAATAATGGAAACCTTTTTTAAGAGAGCAACTAATCAATCCCAATGTAGATAGCATATAAACATATGAATAAAATGAAAATTAAAACTACAGCTGGCTAGAAAAAATGATAGTAGAAGTTGACACCTATACTTACCCTATATAAGATTTATTGCATTATGGATATAGTCTTTTCAAAGGAGATAATATTTCTTTCATTTTTCAATTTTTAATTTCTGGTGATTCAGGAGATGCTAAATTTAGCAGCCAAGTACAACAAGGCAGTGCAGGAGGAAGATGAGCTCCCACCAGAAAAACTTGCAATTGCTAACGTGGGAAGGCAAGATGCTAAGAAACACCTTGAAGAGCATGTTTCCAATTTGATGTCTTCAAACATTGTTCAGACTTTGGGAATGATGCTCGACACAGTTGTTTTTTAGAGTTAAGCATCATCCACTGTATTCTTCGTGATTATGTCTAACAGTATTTTCATTAGCTCGCTTGACTTGTTTGTTAAGAGAAAATGTTTTATTGCGAAGTGTTTTGCATTTTGTGTTCGTTTCAAATGCGGGAGCAATTTGCGGGTCACTGAGTGAGAATCATATTTTAATCACTATAAATGTCATGGAGATCTTTAGTACATGTGCATGAGTTTTATTTATTTATTTTTATAAACGGTATTGTTGACTCAGTTGAAAGACGGAGCCATCAAAATTGCATGTGCATCAGTAAATTGGCTCTTGGTCTCCTTTGAAGGATTGGGATCCTCTCCTTTATTGTTTAATCATGTGCCTGTCAAATCTGAAATGGAGATTTCTCTTGTACTTTAGACATTTGGTTTATAATTCTTTTGTATTTTCAATTTAGTCCCTCTTCTGAATAAATTAATTTTTACAAAAAATATTCTCATTTTCATGCCATCATGTTGCTGTGCTGTCAGTAAGAAGGGCATAAGTGCCTTTTGAAGCCTTAACTTGTTGCTTTACTAAATAAAAAAGGGTTTCATGTGGATCTGAATTGTCTTCAGTTTAGGCGGGAATTGAATTGAAAATAGATTATTTTTGTTTAAAATTATGATAAAATAGTTTAAGCCAATTTTTATAAAATAAATAGCTTAAGCGAAAAAAATAGTTTAAACAAAAATGATAAGCTTAAGTGAAAAATGGACAAAGAGCTTTAATTTTTACTCAATCTTTTTTTTTTTAAATTAATATTTTCTCTTCAACCTCTATATTTAACTTTCTTTAACTTTCATATTCAACATTCTTCTCTCTTATACTTAACTCTTCTCTTTCTCTCCTAATTCTCTTTTTCTTCAACTTCATACCTAATTACTTTCCTCCTCTTCTAATTCTCATCTCACTCAATATTTATTTCTCCTCTTTTTATTTATACTCAACTCTTCACTTTCCTCTTCTTTTATTATCAAAATTTTTTTATGCAAAATTAGTGTAAGCTAATTTTTTTGGCTTAAGCGAATTGTGTATATTCGCTTAAGCGAATTATTTTAACTTAAACGAATTTTGCGTATTTGAAGATATGAAGGTTGGGTGTAGAGAAAAGAGAGGACTAAGAATGAATGTAGACAAAGAGAGCGGGTGGTATAGATAAAAGAGGGAGAGATAGGTATTGGGTGAGGTGAGAATGATAAGAGGAGGAAATGAGTTAGGAATGAGGTTGAAAGAAAAGAGAATTAAAAGGAAAAAAGAAGAGTTAAGTATAAGAGAAAGAAGAAGGTTGAATATGGAGGTTAAAGGAAGTTGAGGAATATATATTAGGTTTAAGGAGAAAGAGAAGAGAACATTGAGTGAAAATTAAAGCTCTCGGTCTATTTTTCGCTTAAATGCTTAAGCCATTTATTTTATAAAAATTAGCTTAAACTATTTTGTTATGATTTTAAGTGAAAATAATTCATTTTCGCTTAAGCAAATTTTTTTACTTAAGCGAAATAAAAAATTAGAAGTCTAATTTTCACCAAAACTAGAAATAATTCAGATATGTTTCATGTTTAGTTAAGTCCAATTTTTTACCGTGAATCAGCATTTAGGCAACCTGCTAGGTGGTGTGGTACTTAGTGGAACACTCGAGCGACTGCCAAAAGATGATAGATTAATTTATAAAAGTTAATAATTTAATAATTATTTTTTTCTAGTAAACCCAGTCAGTACCATTTGTGTTCTTCTACGTTAGAGGAACCGAAAAGTAGTGGAGCAATGCCCATCTGAAATATTCATTCTTATCATACATTACCGACAGCTGAAAGAGAAATACGTCATTAATCTTACTTTTATTTATTTATCTATCTTTTATGTCTACTATTCTACGTTTTCTTTTTTTCTCACCGGAAAGTTAACTTCATTGCCATCTTCGGTACAGGCAGAGCAACTACCATGGCCTTCTATACAATGATGGAAGTGTTGGATTCCTGCACCTCCACTGTCAAAGGAGGAAACAAAGATTTGGATAAGTTTCAAAATTTTTATAAGAAAAAAATAATATAAAAATTAAATAAAATTTCTCTAAAAAATAATTTATTTTCAAATTTTATAAAAATTAAATGAGAAATTTTTAAAAAATAAATAAGTATAAGTTAATTTTAATGTACAGGAAAATTTTATTTTATTACTTATTTTTTAATATTTATTAAAAATTTCTTCAAATTAAACCTAAGAGATTCAATAATTTTTATTTTTGGCTTTCTTAACACCATTTAAGACCAAACATGAGAAATGTATTCATCATGATCTCTTAATCTCAAATAAGAAAAGAAATTTTCGGTAAAAAAAAATTTATAAATCAAGCTTTATCAAGTTAATCGACCATTTGAAAGTTGTACCATCTTCAAAAAGTTGAACTCGTATGTTGCAAGCTTGATGTGAAATCTAAAACTGAATTTTAGCATGAAACCATTGTCATTGGACACTACATGTGATGATACTAATGTTGCAAGTAGGAGTGCTCATTGCAAAAACTGACTAAAAAAAAAATAGAAAACCGAATTAATAAAAAAAACGGGACAAATTAAAAATTATAAAAATATTTTTTTATTCAATAAAATTGAATTTTGAATTCTATTTTAAAAAATCTATCTAATCCAATTCAATTTGAATTTATACCATACTATTATTTTTTAGGAAACATTTTATTTTTTCACAATTATGTAGGTACATATTTTTAGAATACTTTAAAAGTATTCTTGAATTTTATGTTTTATATAAAAATAATTTTATTTAAAAAGTGTTAATACAACGTATTTATTATTATTTTTAACTAAATTTAAAATAAAATTACAAAATTGAATTATCCGAGTATTTTTTTATTAGATCGCATTAAATTTAATTATGTTCTTAAACCGAATTAAGTCAAATTGCACTGAAATTTTATCATGGAATAGAATGATTTTATGTGAAAAAATAAATTTAATAGAATTGGCAAACATGATTGACAGGATTAAATATTTAGCAAACATATGTTACAAAAACATAGGAGCACGTCATTTAAGTTTAGCTATCCTACTTTCAAAGGCACTGTAGTCTCTAGAAAACACCTTGTGAGAGCAAAATGATACGGAGTGGGGTTAGGAAGTGATGGTTCCTTATTCTTAACACAGACAATTTGGAATCTAAAGAGAAAATTGGAAAAGAGAGTTGGATGCATTGAAAAAGTAGAACATTTGGCCCAAACACGATAAGAGGAGAGAGAAAGAATGGAAAATTAAATTGAAGGAGGAGGGTCTCTGTTGAAGAAGAGAGCCAAGGATTTGATCAAATCTATGGTCTTTTGGGTGCCCAAACCAGAGAGATGAAATCCATGATCCACCCCTTCAGTCTCTTCAATTTCCGCAACACCCATCCACCCACTACGACTCAATGCATTGTAATAAAGCCACCCTCTATCCCTCAGCACATCCTTCTCCGCCACACACACCAGCACTCTCCTACAACCCACCCACTCTAAGCTCCCCGCACCCTCACCCACCGGGTTAATCCTCGGGTCATCATAATCTGCCATTGACGGAAACACAAATGCCCATAACTCATCCATCATGCCCTTCATATCCGGATTCAATGCCTCCGACCCGACAGGAATCGAACCCCAGAAAAACGGGTGGACCAGACAAGCTCCAAGAATGTCCATCGGAAGCTCCGAGTTCGGATTCCCAGCCATCATTGTTAGATTATGAACTATGTTTGCGCCTGCACTGTCCCCAGCCAAGAAAACTCTTTCGAAATTAGCATGCTCATTCAACCATGGCTCCGGTCCACTTTTATTCCGGTGTGACGCCACCCACTCTAGTGCAGCCCATGAATCCTCGTATGCGGCGGGGATAGGGTGGTCCGGCGCTAACCTGTATTTCACAGAGACGGCCACGACTTTGGCTTCGGCAACCAGAGCGGAAACGTAATTGTGGTGGTTTGCGGTGAAGGGGGAGGAGACACAGAACGCGCCACCGTGGACGTAGATTACGAGAGGCAATTTGCGGTGGTTGGTGGTGGTTTGTGGGAGGAAGAGACGAGCGGAGACGTTGGTTTGAGGGTGGATTGTGATGTCTTTGGATGCAACTGGCGCTTGTGGGTTAATTGAGGGCGGAACGAAGTCGTTTCCAATGAACCTCTCGACACGACCGTCGGTGAAGACCCGTAAGAGACCCGGCAAGTGGCGTGCTACGCTCTGTTGTGCGTCCGTGGTGTTTGAATTGTTGTCTTCCATCTTGAGAGTGAGTGATGCTGAGTTGCTAATACTGTTAATGTTGGTAGGTTATGATGAGGATCACTTCTCTTATAAACAATTTGAACCATCCATCGTTTTTTTTTTTATCTTCAGCATAGATGGTCAACAGCTATCTTTCACTCCACACCTCAAATGCAATTATGTTTATCAATACTCGAGTTTATAATTATATATAACGTAAGTTAAATAAACAACTTAAATTTAAGAATTTTTATATTTATAATATATATATATATATATAATATAATATATTAAAAAAATTATGAAATTATTTTAATTTTTCATATATCATTAAATAGAACTTCATCTCCACTTATGAGTAATATTTATATAACTTTTAAAAATTTGTTAACAAATCTTTTTATCATTTAACTTTATTTTTTTATTTTGCAATCATATTAACTATCAAAGAGTTACTTGTTAAAGTAAGTATATATATTTTTTAGGTTAGTATTTTTTATTTATTTTTTACTAAATATCTATATATTTCATTTTAATTTATTAAATAAACATAAAATTACATTATTTTCCTCTCTAAAATTTTTTTCTATAAAATATAAGATGATTACACTAAAATAAGACACTTAGATTTATATATGAAGTTCACAAACTTTAACCTCTAATGTCACTGTAGACACAAGAGATTTCTTCTCCTTCTCTCACCATTTTATGTAGCAATAAAATATGACTTTTATTCTTACATTTTTCTTATTTATTTTATTTGACCTTTTCAAGCCACAAAGGTGATATTATTATATTCACAATCTCTCACTTAATGTCACTTTTGTTATGCTTTCAAAAATACTCTTCTTTCTAGTTTTATCGTGTTTACGTCTCTCATAAGCTATATTTGGATCTACATTATATAAACTTGTCAGTGTTAATAGGTTTCATCATTTCATCTGCTAGGTCCTCTTTGGTATGAATCTTTTGCATATTCACACTTCCTTCTACTACTACACAAACAAAGTGATATTAAACACTAATGTGTTTCATCATGGAATGGAATGTTAGATTCCTTGAGATGTGCAAGGCACTCGAACTGTCACAATACATAGAAATATCTTGGTGTTTGTGCTCAAGTTTTTCCAACAACTTTTGAATCCAAATTGCCTCCTTGCATAGCTGCCATGTATTCAACTTCTATAGTAGATAGAGCAACAACAATCTAAAACTTTGATAACTAGCTTATTGTTCCTCCAATAAGTATGAACACATAGTTTATAGTATATTTTCTTTTATCAAGATCACCTATAAAATTTGAATCAACATATCATTTAACAATGAACTTTGATCCTCCGAAATACAATGTAGCACCAGAAGTTCCTTTAATATATCTTAGGATCCTCTTAACAACATTTCAATGCTCCATTCCAAGAATTGCCATAAAATGACTCACATTTCCATGCTTGTGCAATATCTAGTCTAATATAAATCATTGCATAGGTTTCCCACTACTAATATATACGATACTCGAGACATTTACATCCTCTTCATTTCATCACTAAGACATATACTTGAGGATAATTTATAATGATAAGAAATGAGATAGATATTGACTTACAGTCTTGCATGTTGAAGCGCTGCAAGACATAAATAGTTCTTTTGAGAAAGCTAAATTTTCTTATCTTCATGTCTTGGTAAATTTGCATCCATAAAATCTTGTTTATTAGTTTCAAGTCTTTCATATCAAATTTCCTAGCCAATTGTGCCTTTAATTCTTGGATTTGATATTTTTTAGAGCCTACATTCAACATGTCATTCATAAACAACTGCAAAATAATGAAACTATTATCATCAAACTTCTTGTAGCATCTTCAATGGTTTGAACTCAACCTATTGTATCTGAGACTAATAATGAAAGAATCAAATATCTTGTACCAACACTTTTGCACCTGCTTCAACCCGTCCAAAAATTTAGTCAACATGCAAACTAAGTTTTCTTTGTCTTCAAAGTTTTCTAGTTGGACCATATATATTTCTTCTTCTTCTCTACGAAGAAAGAGAAGAAAAATGGTATTTATATCTACCTATTGAAAATGTAAGTTGAATGTCGCACACATATCTAAAACTACTTTGATACTGGTGAGTCTAACAACTAGAGAGAATATTTTATTGAAATTAATATCTTTTTCTGAGTATATTTTCTAAATGTTAATCTTGTACGATATCGTTTCACTCAATCATTATAATTAAGTGAAACTTTGACAATTAGAACTTAGAAATATTATTTGATTTTTATCTTTTAGTGTTATGAAGTTATGATATTATTTTTTTCTTTTTGAAAAATTTATACAATATATTACTTATAATTTATTCAAAAAATATTATTTAATTAAAATGATTCTACCACAATTCAACCATTGAATCTTAAACCAATACTTTGACTAGATCAATGATCGGTCTAGTTTCTTGAACATAGGAAATAATATTGAGATGAAGACCTCACATGCACTTCTAATAAGAAAAATTTAGGCACATAGTATAGATAATTAAGTCAGATCATCAACTCACTAGAGATAAGAAGAACTAAAAAGTGAAGAAGTTGATAAAGATGTTTTGAACTTTTAATTAATTATTAACTTTTTAAAATAATTTAAATATTTTTAGCAATTTTTTACAAATATTAAATGTTAAATAAAAAAAAATTTAAATTATGTGTCAATGACAAAAGACTTTAGTTATCCAACACATCACTTGACAAAAAACATTTGACACATAGAATAATTTCAAACATTTTAAAAATATGAGTGACTAAATCTTAACAAAATTCTTTTAAGAAATAATTTAAAAAAGTAATCCTTTTATAGGAATTAAGAACATAATAAAACTAATTATTTATTACTTTTATTTAATATTTATTTATGTAATATTTAACTTGATTCATATAGTATAACATATAATTAATGTAGATAATAATGTAGTATCTATACTTTTATTTTTTATACTTTTAATATTTTTCAAACGATAATGAGTTAATATTATTAATAATATATCTCACGTGTTCATTAAATTATACTAATTAACTCATATATTATATGCATAAATAATAAAATATAATAACAACAAAAATATTAAATAAAATTTTTTGTTTGAATTACTAGGCTTTATTGTGTGTTGATTAGTGATTGAGATTATTGTGTTTGAATTGTTTGACTTTTTTTTAACTTTTTAAAATAAATTAATAAAATAATAATTTTTTAAAATAATTTTATTATCTAAAATTTTTTGTTATATCATCACTAGTTTCGTCCATGCAAGGGGTAAAATTTATATTTTTAATTAAATTTTATCAACAAAAGATATAAAACTAGGAGATTAAGACACAAGTTCAAATCCTATTAAATTTTAATATGTACTAAAGACGAAACAGTAATCGCAACAAGTTTCATATTTGACACATCAAAATTAGTTTCATCTTTATCATAGATGAAACTTGCTATGATTATGTCACGCATTATTGTCTGAACAATTTTGTATTCTATACAAATGAAACTTAATAAGGTTGTGTTATGTGATAATACTCTTAGAGTAAAATATGCATCTATACTATTTTATCCAAAAAAAAATATTGGTGTATAAATAATGATCTAAGAGCATTTGCATCATAGTCTGAAATAACTTAAAGATTAATTTGAAAAATATTGATAGTACTAGATTAATACTTTATTTTATTATTTTTAATATTTATTAGTTAAAAAATCTGAATAAGTTTAATTTAATTATTTAGTTACTTTAGTTAAATTTGTTTCAATAAATTTAATTAGTTAACATCTTCCAATTAAATTATACTTTATTTTTATATTTCTACTTAGGGAATATTAGATTAATAATTTGATGAATAAATTGAATACAACCAAAAAATTACTTAGTGGTATTTACTAAAAAAAAATAGATTAAATTATTTATGAAATATTAATTATATTATTTTAAAAAATTGGGCACGTTGAATAATATTATGTTGGAATTTTTCTTTTACAAATACAAAATGAGTGTATTTGTTATCATTGTATATTGAAATGGAAAAAAAAAATTAAAGAAAATGAAAGTGTGACTTTTGAAAGAAACAAAAAATGGTCAAGATAAGAATATGGATAAATTTTGAGATTTTAAAAAGAAAAATTCGTGAAAAATTGAATATTTCTCAGACATATTATATCTAGATTAATTTCACGTTTTTTTATTTGTTCAAGTGATAAACAATCTACTATATTAAATATATGTGACAATGAAGACATTGATTACATGATTAATGCATATCAACATCAAAGTAATACAACTGTTATTAATTTATATGTTGATGTTACATTTGGTGAGAGTTCAACATTTGTCTCACATATGTCAGACTTAAATTTATCAATTTTAATGACTAATAATATCAACATGGTGAATCTAGTTACAAAAGGTACAAAAATTTTTATTTATTTATTTTTTACTTAAATTATTTATTATGACAACACATATTATAATTTTAAAGAAGTGAACATGAAGATGAGGATGATAAAAGACATATTTTATTCGACAGTTCATGTGATACTAACTTGGATGGTGATTTTGATTCAAACTTAAACTTACCATAATAAAGTACTGGAGGTATTGTTAATGATTAGGATTTTTATCACTCATAAGCTTATACAAGTTTGAATGATGAATATTGATAAGGTTTAAATACAAGTATGGTTAAATTTTTTTTTGAAATATAAGTCTACACTACAAGTATATTAATTAGGAACACCTTGATCAAGAAATAAAAACAAAAGATTTAAATGAGTCAAAATCATGGTTTCAAGAAAATCTATTATATGTTCGTTTGTTATTTAATTCTAAAGAAGAAGTTAAAAATGCATTAAAACATTATACTATGAGAATACATCAAAATTATTTTGTAGTTGAGTCAACCCAATAAAATTACAGGTGAAGTGTTTGAATCATAGTAATAATTATCGATGGAGAGTGAGAGTTTCATTGCTTAAAAGACCAAATAAGTGGAATATAACGGGGTGAGGTAGTACACATGT